TTCATTTTTTAAAATAGTTGCATACATCTGAAAGTGCATGTGTATGGTAACTATGTCATTTAATTTCAGGCCCTGTGTCATTTCTAATCTGCATGTTCCTTGAAAGAGTTGCAGCCTTAAGTTGTTTTTTTTATTTTAACAATTATATATATTTTTAATCTCATTGATTTTCTGCTGGATAATCTACTATTGCTCATTTTTTATTTTTTAAAATCACTTTAAAAAATTATTTTTTCATGAGTTTGTTATAACAGCAATAATGTCTCACTAAACTGCCTTATGGATTTCATGGAAGGTGATAGTTTTTTTGGTCTTTACCTTAAGGTCTTTAAATGAAAATTATTGGTACCTTAAATTCAAATGGTCATTTGGGAGATCTCTGGCTTGTATTAAGATCAGTAAAAATTTAGTGCCAAGTTTACCAAATTGGGAAAAGATTAACATTTTTTAAAAATAATTTTTAAACAAATGTATATACTAATTAAGACGGATATTATAAATGAGTGTCTCTCCTTTAATATTTTGTCTTTCAATGTAATTTAGCCAGTACGTTAGAAAACAAAGACATGTATTAAAAGATCGCTTGATAGATATGAAACATTTTGAGACTATGGGTGGCATTGCTGAAGTAAGAGTAAAAAAACCAAACTAGTCTTTAATTGCAATTTATTGTGGAACAGTAAATATTAGGATTTTAAATTGGATATTTATGTATATGTAAATTCCTGTGTAACAAGTCAAAGTGATTGCCATTGCCAGTGTTCAATAAGTATATAAGTCATTTTCTGCCTACGAGAGGTGTTTTAATAATGTAAGTTTTAAATCGGTGTAAAGTGCTTGTGTACCCAGGATAGCTAATGCTTGCATGCCTGCGTTAAATCAGTACCGGTAATGCTGCTGTGCCAATGAGAGCTGATGCTGCTGTGCCAGTTTTGAAGCAGTACCTGTAGATCGTAAGTCATAAGTGCTGTTAAACCAATAAGAGCTGATGCTGCCATGCCATTGTTGCATCAGTATATCATAAGTGCTGTTGTGCCTCAGAGAGCTGATGATGCCATATCAGACAGGTACTGTGATAGACATTCCATTAATAACATCAGTGTCTTTCAAATCTAGATTTTTCCATTTTGACACTAAAAATAGCTTTTTGTGCATTGGGATTGGATCTATTGTCGCATCTGCTTTCTGTTATTAAAAGTAATATTTCTGTGAGTATAACATCTATTCAACCCAAGTGCTGAATGTATTTTTTGTTTAAATAGTTACAATTAACTTTATTTATGAGAGAGCCACACAGTTGTATTAATTTGTATTTTTTTCTTGAGTTGACAAATAAATATTTGAACTATTCATTCTTTCAAATGTGTATTATTGATTATTTTAATATGCAGCTTTGTGTGTGAGTGACATCATAATTACCTGCTTTATAGTTTGGTTGTGGTTGTGTCTTATAAACTTTCCAGGTATGTTTTCACTTAGGTAAAAAGTTCATGTTAATAATAATAATATATAGCATCATAATTGCCATGTGTATATTGTTCCCATTTGAAAATTAATATTTGATTTGTGTCATTTTGACAGGTCAGCACAGGTTTAATAGAATATAATCTAAGATCTTCTCATTGGGCCAAGATCGGTGAAATGATCTGATATCAGTTCAATGGTGTAAGATCAGCTTAATGATCCAAGATCGATGCCATGGTCTAAGATCAGTTCAATGGTCTAAGATCTGTTCAATGGTCTAAGATCAGTGCAAGTGCAATTTAATATCAGTTCAATGGTCTAAGATCAATTCAGTGTCTAAGATCGGTGCAATGGTCTAAGATCAGTTCAATGGTCTTAGATCAGTTCAATGGTCTAAGATCAGTTCAATGGTCTAAGATCAGTTCAATGGTCTAAGATCAGTTCAATGGTCTAAGATCAGTTCAGTGGTCTGTTAGTGCAAGTCATTTAAGTTTATGGCTCTTTTGGAGTATAAAGTCATAGCAAAGTTTGAAATAGATGTTGCCATTGTTATGGTTTATGAATGGAACACATTCACACACCTATCTTTTCTCGCCAGTGCCTTCCCCTGTTTTCAAACACTTAAATGTAGTGAAAGTGAATAATATTTTTAACATTTTAATAAATTAGAGTTGGAAACGTAACACATGAGCGATCGCATCCAACTCCAACATACTGAAGCCAAGTAAAAATGCTGAAACATTTATCAGAGGCAAAGGGTTTAAAGAGAACCCGGGGAAATGTTAAATATTGAAAGCAGACGTCTTGGAAGTGTTCCGTTGAGGATCAATATTCACTTAAAGACCCGCTAATTTTCAACCAAGGTCTTAACTGCCTTTAGCTCTCTTGATTCCCTTTGGGAGCAATCCACAACCACGAGAACTCGTAGGTCTCGAGCAATCACGAAATCACTCATGCTTAAGTTGAATATTGATCAGGTGGAGTCTAAGTTTGAAAATGTAATGGATTGAAAATAATTCACTTATTATTTTTAATGATTTCACCGTGGTTTATCGAATAAATAAAAATTTGTTTTTTTAAACTTTAATTTAGAAAGTAGACGATATAGTTGTTTTTAAAAAGAAGATTGTTTCGTAATCATAGCGCTTTGGTAAATTTTTAATCGAAGTATCTTATTTGGACCTGGCGACCACAAGTGAGAGGTTGGGATTAAAATTTTTTTTATAATATTACTTTTGGGTTTTTAATATAAATTTTGGTATCGAATGAAAGATAATTGAAAGGACTATTGTGTTATTAACTTAATTCTTCAGTTTAACTAAAATAAACTTACCACAAATGACATCCGAATAGCAATGAGTCTAAAGGGACCCGGGTCCCAATAATAATAATAATAAAGTTTATTTCAAAAACACGCTTCATCCCCAAAGGCTCGAAGCGCCGTACAAAAGTTAAAAAAAAAAAAAAAATCTATAATTTATCACATTTAAAACAAACGCAACACTACAAAAACTAATTACAAGCATACCAAGTCAAAGTCTTTCTACCCATTTCAACCATAAGCAACACAGCCAATATGCATTAAATGGAAAATATGGTAGACAATCATCCCAGAAGGTGTTTGCGAAATAGATGTGTCTTTAAATCGGTTTTAAAGGACTCCAGTGTCTGATTGTTTCTGAGGTCGACTGGAAGGGGGTTCCAAATTGTTGGACCAGAATAGCGGCGCTGCGTGTCCAGGTCCATTATGACTAAATGCTGTTTGGATGTCATTTGTTGTTGTTTATTTTAGTTAAACTTAAGAATTAAGTTTACAAAAATATAGTCCATTCAATAATAATTACTTTCATTTGCTACCTAATTTTATTAACAAACCCTACAATAATTTTAAATATTTTTTTTTTAATAAACCGAAACTCTCACTTCTTGGACCTGGGTCCGAATAGCCACAGCCTTCAATTATATTTCATTCTATGCCAAATTTTATCTTACAAACCCAACAATAATATTTTAAATATTTTTTTTAATAAACCCAACCACCTCTCACTTCTGATACCGGGTCCGAATAGCCGCAGCCATATTTAATTTTAATATTAATTGTTGAGTTGAGGTTGGGGGACAGGATGTTATGATAAAGAACGATTAATACGAAATGTATACCGGTATTAATATGTTAATTTAGGCTTCAATTTCCTTTAGACTTGAAATGAAGCGCACTCTTAGCAAAAAGGTAATTGCACCAACCCATGACCCACCTGCCCCACCAGAATACAAGAGTTCTCGTAGGTCGTGACCCCCCCACGCCTCCACCCCTTTTCTCTAAAAAAATTAATAATTTTGAACAATTTTGTTTAGGAAGTCTAATTTCTAATATTGCCAAGAATAGATGATATTCCCATAGAACAGTGGTTCTCAGCCTTTCTAGTGCCGCGACCCCCAGCTCCACAATTATTTTCGTAGTTGCTACTTCACAGCTGTAAGATATGTGTTTTCAGATGGTCTTAGGCGACCCCTGGAAAAGGTTCCCACGACCCCCAAAGGCGTCGCAACCCACAGGTTGAGAACCGCTGCCATAGAACATTAACATATAACATAGGCTATATCATATATCAGTTTAATACAAGGTTTTCTAACGGTCTAACGTTTTCTATATACAGTGACACTGCAAACTCACGATTTTATTTTTACTAGATCGCACCCCTACCAAACTACTAAGTCCCAAGTGTTTGACTAAGTCTCGCACCTTCTACAAAAATTTCCCCAACCGTTGCACAGATGCCAGTAGGCCTATATGGATGCAGCAACGAACACTACCAGAATTAATTGTAGTACGAAGCATTTGAATAATTCAATGTGCAAACAAGATTTATCTCCCCTTCGCACTATCATCAGTTGCCAGGCGGACACGACCGGAAACTATTGAGTGTATGACCGCGCATCCGTTGCTTAGGGTAAGCTTCCTTGGATACGCTAGCTTCATCAGTCATCACATAGAAGGTTTCCGCGTGCGGGGCGCAAAAATATTCAGTGATAAGTATGCATGTCAATTTATTAAATAAAAATGTTCTTAACAATTTCCAAATTATAAACATCGTATGCTGAGATGAAAGTAGGACACCTTAGCCTTATGGGTCGGAATGCAATCTAATTTAATGGAGCGAGTTCGTAGTCACTGAACTGACTGAACATAACTCACCCATTATTCATTATCATTAAACTTAAACTCATTTAGCATTTAGCCTACTTTTTAATACTGATAGTAATGTTTTAGTAATAGTATTCTACAAGAATTTACAGTGGGCCTTAATTATAATGTCATGCACAAAATAAAGTCAAAATACTTGAATACTTACAATAACTTAGTTAACATTATCATAAATATAGATATAGAATAAATAAGTAAAAATTAGACAATCATTATCATTGGTAAAAATAATTAATAATTAAGATTTTGTAATTAAGTAAGTCACCATATATAATAATGTATTGAGTTAATTTTATTATCTAGCTTGTTTTGAAGCACATGTTAGTTGAAAATGGAGTACCTGGGACAGACTCAGACTGCTACCTACTTGACTGGCCCAAAACAATTTAGCCAGTATAGTCAACTTCCCACCATTGGAAACTTTCAAAATACATATAAAACAACTGATTCATATCCAGCACCTTCTCCTCTTAGAAGGTCACTTACCACTTTGCCTTGGAGACCAAGCACATATTATCAAACCAAGGTCAGTCTACTGCCAATAGATTAATGTAGTTTTTAAATACTATTATAATTATAAAGACTTGAAGGCAATGTTCCCTTTAAGCTGTGCGGCCGCACAGCTAACTCACAGACGCCACGCAGCAAATTTCCATGTAAGTTTATGTTTGTGGGCTGTAAAATTTTGCACTCATAAAAAAATGATGCTGTAAATCTTTGCACACAGCTGTATGATTTTGCACACGAACCAGCAAACCTTAGAGGGAACATTGCTTGAAGGTGCCCCAAAAATCATTGTAGGATGCCACAAAATACATTCTTAACTTTGAATTTAAGAGCTGGACCTAAAGAAAACACTATTTACCACCTAATTGAATTTATTGTTTTCCAAATGCAAAAATTTCTCATATAAACTGCTTCTACTTCTACTCACAACTTGAGCTTGAACAAATGTACCTGGTGCAGAGAATATGAAAATCCATATCTTAAATGTATAGGCCTAATTTGTATTGAGGTGTGGTCAAGATATTTAAATTAGAACCAATGTAATCTTTGTTGGAAGCTTGGACAGTGGCGTAGCTAAGGTCGGTGTCACCGGTGTGGTAAACTCATGGTGTCACCATAAATTCAATATCAGCTGCCTAGGTATTTCTTTTAAAAGTTTATCCTCTGATAACTCATCATAGAAAGAGGTTAATTTTGGAAGGGACATCAATAAATCTTCTTCACTTGCTTATAGTAGACTCTTGAGCCCAAAACATATCTGCCACTTCCTTGATCATTAGGGATCTGATCTGGAGTTCAAAATGAAACGTGCATCTCCCTTCTATTTTCTTCTCACAGAGAAAAGATAGCATCCATTAATTGTTCCCCTTTAATTCTATTCTTTAACCTATATGTTCTCTCTACGTAAATTCCATATATTTCTGATTTTAAAAGTACATTTTCAATAGCACGTTCCAAAAGTGAGAACACTTCCCGTGCAGAAACAATCTTAAGGCCTCTGTGTTGGTCACCACTTTGTCTGTAAAGACTAAAGCCTTTAGTCTGCAGATACTGCTGTGTAAGATTAACTTCCCCAAGTAGATCATCCCAAAGGTAAAGGTAGCAGATAAACATGACATCACAGACAGCATGTAAAAGACCTTGTGCTGTATGACAATCGTGCTCTAATGTTAAGAGGTCTTGCTAGTGACGAATCGGCGAAAATATTTATTTTTCAATATATTGGTTTCAGTGTATGTGTTTTTTTAAAAACGTTTAAAAATTTAATAAAAAATATATTTAAATTAATTATTAAAAATTATTAGAACATTTTGTAAAAACACTATTTTGTTGAACCTAAAAATGGGTAAACATTTAATTTTAATTTTATTAATTATCACCGATTCGATTTCCTTTACTTAGAATCGTCCGACTATGTTATATTTGGTTTCAGGGGAAGGCTTTATTTCTCAGAATTTGGATAAATATTGCTTCCTGTCATTTATGAAAGTTATCGAACACTTCAATCGGCATTGAATAATGCTCAAAAAGGTGTTTCTGACACATTATTTGGATTAGTTACACGTGTGGAAAATTAATGTGTGATCGGTTATCCTTTTATGAAAGGATCTGTTAGACTGAGCAGTGTGTGCTCTGTAAATATGCAATTTTTCAATTGGGTGTCACCCCCTGGGATGGTGTAACCCATATTGTGGTCCGCACCCCTGCAACCCTAGCTACGTCACTGGTTAAACATATAAATGGGTAAAAAGACATTTTTAAACAGTATTTTTCGGAATTAATTATAGGGTGACCTCATTTTTGACGCATCAACATATAACTTTTAATAAATAACGCATTGGGATTTGTTACATGTGTGGATAATTTTTCTGTATGATTGGTTATCCTTTTATGATAATCGGTTGGACCGAGCACTGTGTGCCCTGTAAATATGCAATTTTTCAGTTGGGTTTCACCCACTTAGATGGTGACACCCGGTGCGGTCCGAACCCCCTTGCTACGCCACTGAGCCTAGATAAACTTTTGAAAGATTTTGAAATGAACATAACAAATTAAGAGAATGTTATATACATCAGAGATCAAAATTTCTTATTAAGTGCATGAAGTAATATATTTATTGTTTCTGGTACCAGTATCTAAAATTAATATCAATATTTGTTCATCATTGAAAGACAAAGGCATAGCTGCCTGTCTGCTCCTCCATGCGTGGCTCAAGAATTTGAGCATGACACTTAGGAGTTCCTGTTGTATTTTTCACAGTTGAACATCAACAATTTATGCTCTTTAGCTGGCCTGTTCTTTTTACAGCTAGACTTGTGTTCTTACCTGCTGTTTAACCTATTTAATTCATAGTTTGTCAGCAAGGCATCACCTGGAATGATCTTTAGCGCAGCTCTCTCATTCATTGGATAATCTTGCCTTATTGCAAAGATGCAGACATCCAGTAGGTTCTGCCCCATTGCCAGTTTGCTGTACACTAAGTCCTTGGGATTGCAACCTTATTCCATTATTTTGGATGGCATTTATGACTGATAGTGGAGAACATTTCTGCACATTTAGGAACATTCCAGGACCTCTGAGTTGAGCACTTTGTCCTGCTATTGACTGCACTGTGTGCTCAGCAGCCCTGCAGATATCTCAGGTAGCAGCTACTGAGATTTTGTTTGCAATTTGTGTAGGTGGTCCATGCCTCACTGCTGAAAAGGATGTGCTAAGCTTGTATGCATATAGATGCCCTATTCATTCATATCCTTAATGCTGGAGTTGTTTAAGTTTAAGACACTCTTTTGAAAGATTTTGAATTTGGTAGCAGCAGGTCTTTTCACTACTTTATCAGCTTTCATTTCATTTTTTTATCAAATAAAATAAGATACCGATAATGACAGTTGGCCAGTACATGAAATTACAATGTATTTTTTTATGATTATTTTTTCTTGAAGGTAACCCCCCCTCTAAACCCACTTACTCGCAGTATGCCTGACCCCATGTCCCAAAGAACACAGCTAACAGAGTTGGATTCCCTCAAAGTGCCTCCTGTGTTTGCCTCAGCCAGAAATGCTCTTTACACACGTTTTACACCAAATGATTGGATGGCTTCAAACCAAGGCAACTACCTAGCATCAGATCGTGTTCGTAGTGGTGCTGAGCGCCTTCGTCTCGACACTGTGCGCCTTTGTAGGCAAGTATTCAAATGTTAACAAATAGTAAATTTAGAATATTTGTATACTTACTTACTTGCCTTTTACCCCTCCTGGGGCATAGGCCATCTACAATAATTTTTCATTTATCTTTGTCCTGTGCTTTTCTTTCCGTACGTTGGGCCTATTTAGGTTCAGTTATTTCTAAGGCATGATCTGTACTTTCTGCGTGAATACACTTTGATATCATCACACATTTTTTTCTCTATGTCTTTTTGTGAGAATGAATTCAAATTTTAAAGTTGCATCATGTTTCTAATTACTATAGAGAAGCAGATGACAAGACTAAGCGTACACAGAGTGATGTAGGAAAACGTTTAGGAGAACGCATTGGGGATATTAACTTCTGGAAAAATGAACTTGCCCATGAGACTGACAATCTTATTGGTGAGACAGCTCAACTTCAAGAGGTATTAATATTGTATTAAAAATAGAATGCAGCTTTTTAGAGATTATATTATATTTATTTATAATAAATACAAATTAATAATAAATATTATTTATTTTCCATCTAGTTTCTCCACAGAACTTTCTCATATTTGAATTATTCATTGGTATATTCATTTAGCTAAAAAAAAATATGGACAGAGACAATTATAAAACAACTAAGACAATTATTTCTTTACCCAAGGCCAAGAGAGTCCTTGAAAAGTTTTTGGCAGAGACTGAGAATCCCTTGCACATTGCTCAGGAGTGTCTGTATCATAGAGAAAAAAGACAGTCTATTGACTTAGTGCATGACAATCCTGAAAAGGCACTTATTAAGGTATTGCATTTCCTTATACATTTATTATAGTATATGTATTTTTTAAAATAAACTCCTGAAATACTGGGTAATGAAATTTCTGTCTATCGAAAAAGTTAATCTATTTTTATAAAGATTTTCACATGTGTTCTATAATGTTTCTAGGAAGTGGATATTATAAAAAGATGCCAAGAGAGGATGAGAAATACTGTTGACAAAGCTAATGTTCAGCTAAGGTAAGCAGCAGTGATCAAAATTAGATAAACATTGAAGAAGAAGAAAGTTATTTAAAAAAACTGCTTTTAACCTGAAATCCTATTAATTTTTTAAATCAGCTAAAGCTAACTTTAAAATAAATAAGCAGTAAGTATTTTATTTCATTTCAGCTTAAATCGTGCAGCTCAGCATGAACTAGAAAAAGATGCTAGTGATAAATTTGTGGCTGAACAGTTGGACACAGCATGTCACGGGTTGAGGAACACAAGTAGAGGACTTGCATATCATGATGGTGTTCACAGGATTGATAACACGTACGTTGGTGGAAAGCTCATAAATAAACTCTTTTAAACCCCTTAAGGGGATTTATTACAAAGATATACAAGAGCTGGCTAATTATAGCTGTAGTGCAGGGGTGGGCAAACTTTTTGTGGGAAGGGCCACATGACTAATGTAAAGCTGTTGGGGGGCCGCATGGATATTATGTCCAATTTTTACATGTCAATAAACATTTTTCTATTATATTACATGACGAAAGTCAAGAACTGTTTAAAAAAATAGAAAATTAGAAAGAAATTTGATCAAAATGTTTAATAAATCTTAACGGTATATGAAAGTCAGTAAAATTCAACAAAATAACGTAAAAACAAAGTAATTTTGTTATTTCTAAATGCCTTCGAGGGCCACATAATATCAGTTGCCGGGCCACATGCGGCAAGAGGACAATTTCACACCCCTTCTCAATAATCCTGACTGAAATTCTTAAAGAATGGGATAGTTATTAGAGACTAACTTCTCCAGATTTATCAGAGGATGTGAGGACCTTCTTGAATTATGACCATGATGTGAATTGTACATGATTTTAACAGTGTTTATGTGACTGAGACTTGACTGTATGAGAAATGGTATCATTATTTCTGTGTAGAGAATTGAATGAACTCTTAATTAGGTCATTTTGAGTAGTAAACCCTGATTAAGAAATTAAAATATTCTGAGAAAACAATTTATAACTAGTGTTAGTCAATCACTTCTGTATTTTTTTTAAAACATGTTTTTCCTTTTTGACATTTTGAATTCCAGGTTATTAAAATGTATATACTTCTGAATACGTGAAAATTCAACTCTTGCTTTTTTTTTCAGGGTGTCTGTACCAGAAACCTGGGCTAGATACAGCAATAACAACATTCAGAGATCACAAGCTGAGCGAGCAGCCTCAAAGAATATGCGGAATGAAATTGAAGCTGTGATTAATGCTTGCAACAATGAAATGTGGCAAGAGTGGAATGCTGTCAATGTGGCATTGAACCAACGTGCCCAGGAAACCACTGATGCTAGAAACAAGATTCAAACTCATCTCTCAAAGGTAAATTCTATGTTTATCTAAAAATCATATGAAATTGTTTTCTTAAGTTATTCAAATTTCAAGTAATAAATTCTATTTTGCTTTCAATGATTTAAACTTAAAGATAGATTCTAAAGTTTTTCCATATCGTGGGAAGTCTTTTCACAGATAATGATTTAATGATGTTAAATTAAAGGTGCTTCAAGAAATATTTGATATGGAGAAGAACATTGAGCTGGCAAAGAAGGCAATCCAAGATAAGGAGGCCCCAATGCAGGTTGCTCAGTCCAGATTAGACACTCGTTTGAGAAGACCAAATGTGGAATTATGCAGAGATCCAGTTCAACACAGGTTTGATCATCCTTTTTTACTTGGAGATTTTTGGTCCCTCTGTCATTTTTCAGTGTGCACTCATGCCTCCTTTTACAGCTGTTCATGTGTTGACACTTGAGAATTATGAACATTTCAAACAGTTGTGAGGGATGGAGGGAAATCCATTATTACCTTTTTTGAATTTCTAATACTGGAATTGTGGAATATCAGTTTTAATTTTTAAATGATTAAGATCTACCTAGATTAAAGATCTTTAGATAAAATTGTATAGTGAAAGAAATGAAAGGAAAATTATTTTTGTAACTCTCCCTATTTCAGACTTGTTGAAGAAGTTGGTGAGATTGCAGACACAGTGGACGCCCTACAGCACAAATTAAGGGAAGCTGAAAATGCCCTGCAGGCATTGTTACGCACCAAAGCTGCATTGGAACAGGATCTTAGCATTAAGAACAACAGCTTGTTCATTGACCGTGAAAAGTGTCTTGCCATGAGGAAAACTTTTCCAATGGCACCTCGCATTGTTTCAGTCTGAAAAAGTCTGAAATTATCAGACAAACTTCATTGCTGTAGTATTTGATGTCTTTACAAATATTTTTTTTTTAACTCTTTCTTTCTGACAGCAAATTACTGCGTCAGTTTTATGTATAGTAAGACTAGATAACTTTTCCAGAATTGGACGAAAAAAAATATAAAAAAATAAAATAGAAGGATAAATTTTACACTGAAAAATTGAAATTTCTATCTAAATCAACATATTTTAAAAAATATTTTGATAAAGCTGACTTATTAATTTCTCTATATATTTCTTGTTGTAAAGCTTTGACGCACATGTTTAATGACAAATTTAAATCAATTTAGTTATGTTTCATCTACTTAACAGTACATATTTTTTTTTTTTTTTTTTTTTTTAAAGTGTGGTATTACATATGCGGGTGTTGAACTAGATAATAGGTAATGTATGTAGTTGTCCTGTGCTTAATAGAAATGTTTGACTTAAAAACTAAATACTTCTTTGGCCATCTATATTTTACAAATTGCAGCTGTTAGCAAAAATGTTTTATCTTGCTTATTGTGAGATAAAATATTGAAAAAATAGTTAAAGATAATAGCAAAGCAATGTCTATCAGCTGTTACTCGTTAGTACTAACTCATCAATTGTCAGTTACTATTCTTGAATCATTCTTCAAAGTTGACACCAATATAGTCATGTGACTATTTTTATTCTTAAATGGGCTGTAATTTAGGTGATACTAAGAGAAAGAGAATCAATAAGAATTTATTTATTTATTTTTTTTTTTCAATGTTAACATAATTTTTTAGTTTCTGTCTTCTGTGCTTATTTATTTATAACCAATATATCATAAAAGAAAAATTGTCACTCTTACATTCAAGTCAACGCTGATGATTGTTGTGTCATTTCAGTGCCTGAATCTTAGTAAATTGTTTTATTTATATCTAACTCTAAATATTTAACAAAACACTTTGCAAAAGTGATTTCAAGTGATTTAACATGGTATTTGATGACTATTTAAAAATTATCTTTTTCTGCAACAATCAACTTCGATATCTCCTTCAGTTTTCATCATTTTAAAAACAATGCCATTTGGTTATGTATCTTAAAATGTATCAACAATCTTATACTGTAAAAAAAAAAGTAAAATATATATTTGCAACCATCAAGAGGAATTATAGGTCTAAAAACTATATTATTAGCATAATGTCTTAGCATTATATATTTTTTATGTGTAAATAAACAGCTACATTCTTTAAAGTAATTAATGCTTGAATACAATGTAAAGACGATACAGTTAATAAAAAATTGAAAAAGTAAGTTGATTTCTGAAAATAAAATAAACTCCCAATGACCTAATATCATTTAACATACAGTAAACATGATAAGTATTAAGTAGTAATTTGAAATGAAATCCATGTAATTTTAGGCACAAGTTAAAATATTTTAACATTTAAATTAAATTTAAGCAGTTTTGAAATCTTAAAGCCCAAGATATTTATCTACTGTCACACCCTATTTTAATTGGGTTACAATTGAACGTGTTTTTTAAATTTTCTCTAACTAGAATTTTTTCTACAAATAGGGGGCTACATGTTTGTACGTCGTTTATGTGTTCTATGATCTAAGCTTTATTTTTCTTGCTTAAACCTAATCAGTCTGAAGGTTATTGTAACATTATATGTAAAAAATGTGATCTTATACACTTAAGCCATTACTTAGGCTTAACTAACAGTATTATTATTGTACATTTTCCTTTTTTCCTTTCCTTTTTTTTCTCCCCACTGTGATAATGAGTGTCATTTTTTTAATATTTAAAGATTTTCTTGTTTTTTTTCTGCACAGCTTATTAAGTTGTGATGCTGAATTTATTTAGGACTATTTTAGAGTGTTAACTTTTAACATCAAAATTAAAAAATTGCTGATGGACAAACATGAAAAGAATTTTAGTAAAGAGGCCTTGACCACAAAAGATTTATGATTTTATATGAAGGCCATATGGTACAATAACACTGATTTGTCGATGCTCATTGGTACCATTTTCTATATGTGCCATGCTCTTCATGAATTATATTGCTATCTGGAATTTTGAAATTTTGTATTCAATAGAATCTCACATATGATTGGAAATAAAGTGTTTTATTTCATTTTAACTTTAAAAAATGTGTATTAGCTTGTGTAGAATAAGGGTTTTCAATTTCACATAATGTCTGGTTCTCATCATTTATTGCAGAATTTTTTTTTTTTTACTAGATCTTTTACATCATTTAAAATTTTACACCAAATAAGGTTTTTTAATAGTATATTATTACAATCTTTATTTATTACTTTTATGGCTGTGAAAAACGCTCATAAAATTTGGCAAATTCTGTAACATTTAAAATTGCATCAACTATTACATAATCCATCTTTTCAAAGCAGTTGATTGCTTTTGTAAAATTATAATTGTAAGGTGTTTTGTACAGTTTAAAATAATTTTTGATACAATGATTCAACTATAATCATATTTGTTTTGTAAAAGTATTCCTGCTCTCCCTGTGTATATGGAAATATTCTACCTTTCATTAAATTTTTTTTTTGGAGCTGGTCTAGATTGCTCGTTAACTATTGAGTTTGCACATATCATTATTAAATAAAAGATTTTCAATTACTGTATAAGAAATTTTTAAAAATAAAAAAAAAAAAGCATTTGTGATTTCAATTTGATTTCTTTGTGTTAACATTGTGTTAACATTGTCATCCTTCATAATATTTGAGCAATATATCTTTAATCATTTAGAAGTTAAAAAAAAATTAACAGGTTGGTGTTTTTGTTTGATAGCACTTATGAGGATTACACAGGATACCTCAAATATACTTCGCCATTAGTTGTTAGTGATACTTTGACTTGGCTCTTATCAAAAGCTCTCTATAATTGGAAAATCTTTAACTGAAAGCTTATTAACTTCATTTGTTAAGATATTAAAAGCATATTTTTTTTGTCCAATAGTAATGTAATACATTGGATTCAACATTGGTGGTCACCTATATAACAGAAATTAATTTGAAAATTACAATTTTCAACAATAATTACAAAAGAATTATTTCATTAGAGTTTTCAGAGAGAAACAACTAAAACATATTCTGCTAGTGATGCTGATATAAATATTTCAAGCTGATGTTAACAGGGCAAGAGCATTCAATCTGACCTCTGCCTTTTTTTTGTCATTTCATTTTAATAACATTTAGTTTTAAAGAACTTTGTAAAATTAACAGTTAAATAGTCATTTATGTATGGCAACACAATTATATTTCTTTGCACCATCCCTAAAGTTTCAATATCAGTTTTCCGGTAACAACTGTATCTACCTATAAATAGTTCTGAATTTTTTTTAATTTTTGGCCGATTGACTTTAATAATCTTAAAATTAATATTGATCAACTAATGATAGTATATAGCATGACGATGTAAGAGTTATGGTTTGGAGCAGGACATTATCACTTGAAGATAAAAACTTAGAGATAGGCCTACATATTTCAATCAGGCTGCGATCCATTGTTGGCTTTTCATGTTATTTAGTAACACACACCCATGCACACACACATACGTGACATACACGCACATACATACATTATAATCACATTGTTGATTGTGTAATTATGTATACCCCTCCCACGATCGATCTTGAATAAAATTTCAGATATCCAATAAGCTATCAATAGGAATTCCAGTTGGAATTTAATTTCCCCCTGTGTCGTACCTAGAGTCTAGAGCAGTGGTCCCCAAACTTTTTATCGCCACGGACCGGTCCGGTCAACGTTTGATAATTTTACTGCGGCCCGCTGAGGGGTTGGGGGGGGATTGATTGTTTATATTTTGGATTTTTAAAATTTATTATTGGGTTTCCACTGTGACAGCCCTCTTTGCCCCATTCTCATGGCTCTGCCTGGGGGCAACATGGCACCCAGAGCGACTCATAAGTCATAATATGGGGACCACTCGGCTGGCCAAATTGTCGGCTGTATAAACACGCGACTCATTTTTTTTTTTTTTATTTTATTCTTTGACGTCCCAGTTAACCATAAAATTGTTTGATGTCTTTGTTTTTTTTAATAGGGATGGGGGCTAAAAGCACAACACCCCCACCCCAACCGCATGTATGGTTCCAGTTGCTGAGAGCCTCTGTGTCCATACGTCCGTACTTATCATCCAGAAAATCTGGTAAGCTAATAAAATGGAAATAATTTAATGTTTCTTGGGCGGCCCGGTGCCATTTGATCCACGGACCGGTACCGGTACCGGTCCGCGGCCCGGGGTGTGTGGACCACTGGTCTAGAGCATTTGATAGGACGACGGTCCCGGGTGGAATATCGGTGTTTACATAAAAGCCTGTCATTGTTTAAGCGGATGTGCGTGTTAGCCCCAGCCCGACGAGTTCTGCCTACCACCGGACAGCGACGAAACACGTTTGCCGACCTTCACCTTAGAACGTTACAATTATTGTAATAGACTGAGCTTTGCGAGGACAAGAAGTGGGGGTAGGACACGGTGGATCCGGACGAGAGAGTGAGGTTAACGCTGCGCAACTCTTCCTCACTTTAAACAAAGTAGTCCGCGCAAGTCATCAGTCATCCAGCACCCATCATCCCAAGTCCTCTGGTGACGGGCAGGCTCTCCTAAATGCATTAGGCAGGGGCTAGAATAGGTTCCAAAAACATTGGCTGCTCCTTCACACCCTGGCCGTCTAAACACGGTCGACGGGGACCCAATTTTTCAGTTCGAAAGTCGAAGATCAACTCTATTTCACTTAAAATTGCCACATGGAACATCCGACAACTACTTGACAGGGACACTACAAAAACACCTCAACGGCGAACTGCGCTAATTGCCCATGAACTTGCCAGATACAAAATAGACATTGCCGGCCTCAGTGAAACCAGACTCTCTGGCAAAGGTGAACTCACAGAAAGGCTTGCTGGCTATTTTTTCCTTCTGAAGCGGACGTGACCCTGAGAAGCTGGTGTTGGCTTTGCTATCAAAACCTCTCTTGTGAGCAAGCTCCACAGCTCTCCAGAAGGTATCAATGATTTTCTCATGACGTTCAAAATCTCCCTCTGCCATAGAAAGAACACAATGCACCCCCTATGACAAACACAGAAGAGACCAAAGCTAAGTTCTATGAAGACCTGAACACTGTCATCTCCTCCACACCAACTGCTGACAAATTCATCATTCTTGGAGATTTCAATACACATTCCAATAGTAACTACACCTCCTGGAGGGTTGTGATGGGCAAGTATGGTATAGTAAAGTGCAACAACAAGGGCCTACAGCTACTTTAGACCAGTGCTGAACACGGCCTTCTAATAACAAACACCACCTTCATTCTGACTACGCGCAACAGGACCTCCTGGACGCACCCCCTTTCAAAACAATGGCACCTATTTGATTATGTCATCGTCAGAAATTGGGACCGACTGGACGTGAGGGTGACTAAGGCCATGTGCGGCGCAGAATGCTGGATGGTTTTTAACTTTATTATTATTATTATTATTATTATTATTATTATTGTAAGGTGAAACAATGATGGTCTCCGACGGCCACATCGATGTTAAAGCACTTCATAAAAAAATCGAGTACAATCTGATGATAAGCTGCCTCACTAAATTTCTATGGGGGGGGGGGGGGGGGCGTGTGATTTTGTGCAAGAATTGCTTTTCAATTTCAGAATTGTAAGGTGAAACAATGATGGTCTCCGACGGCCACATCGATGTTAAAGCACTTCATAAAAAAATCGAGTACAATCTGATGATAAGCTGCCTCACTAAATTTCTATGGGGGGGGGGGTGGACATGTGATTTTGTGCAAGAATTGCTTTTCAACTTCAGTCCGCAATTTCTTCTTCTTCTTCTTCTATATATTAAGGGCCCACGATCAATTTATTGATCATTTTGGCTCCTATGCATGTAGATGGGATTTGCAATGTTTCTGTTACCGTTGTTGATGAGGAAATCATGTACAAGATAAATAATGGGCTGGTCCACTGTTCAAGTATTAAACAGAAACTCGTCCCTCTCCCCCATAGACAGCGACGAGGCCATGACAGCCAATTCAGGCTCATACCAGCAAGAAGCCAGTATAGGAGCTGCTCATTCCAGCCCAAGACAATCAGGGACTGGAACAAGCTTTCAAAAGGAACAGTTGAGGCGACAACACTGGACTCATTTGTGTCTATTGCCTCAAGCCTTCAAACCCCCAGCGTATAAATCCCTCACAAAGTGGCACTGGAAATCAGTGAAATGTCCTCATCAACACCAGGCACAGAAACATTGCAAATCCCCTCTACATGCGTAGGAGCCAAAATGATCAATAAATTGTTCGTGGGCCCTTAATACATGTAAGAAGAAGAAGAAAAAATCAACATTCTCCGACACTATTGCGCACCATATTTTCAGACCAGCTAGGCACTGCTTTACATCGCAGAAATATGTTACTTTTAAAAACATTTCCGGTACAGACATAAAAGGATTCAGGTTATGCAGTAAAAGAAAATGCCGTCATGTTTTTGTTATTTGGCCATCGGTTATCTGACGTTCAAGATTATTTGATATTCATTTAACAGGTATATTAATGTGTGTTAAATGCATAATATTAAAGTAATTTGGGAAAGAAATTAAAACAAAGAGACAAGCAGTGTTTGAAATCGTGGCAGTGCGCAAGAACAAAGACAAAGGAAAGTTGGGGGCAATTATAATAGTATTGAGTTTGGAAGGGGACACTTAAATCTCTATGCTACCACTTCATGATCGTTTTTTTTCTTCAAATTTTGAAAAACAATTTCGTTAAGTTTTGAACTGTCATTTAATGTCAGTCAGTGCAATACCTCATATTTTACTTTATTAATGGTAAGATTTTTATCCCCAAAACGTCGATTCGCGAGGCATAAACAGACATTTATTATTGAACGCCAATCCTAAATGCCGCACACAGATCTGTACCTCTAAATTGATCTTTGGTTGTTGTAGTTTCTTTTTTTGATGAGGGGTGTGGGATTTTGAACATTTCAGTACACGGAGAAGCGATTTTGAAAACCTCTGACCTATAATAAGAAGAAAAAATACTATTTTGTAAAGATATAGGACTCAATATTTATGAAAAACAAATCAGTAGGGCATGTGAGGTTTTGGGAAACCTATGGAACATTTTTCTGGTTAAATAATTGTTGGAAGCTAATCCTCAAAGTCAGGATAAGGAAACAAACTAGAGATTCAATCCACTGACAATGACTTAATCAACAACGGGATTTAAGCTTCGGCTTATATATTAAGGAGCGGCCGATTTAAGAAACAGTTCGATATTTATGATCGAAAGGTGTAACAAGATTAGCCTTAAATAGAGGGAAACGATGCCTAAAAGAAAGACTGCCTGAATTGGTTTGGTCACATCCATAGGAAACCATCAAACTCAATTGCCAAGACCATAGAATTACGCTTAAAACACTTTAGACACATCTATTGAATCCTACAAAGACACCCCTTAGGGCTACAGCATGATGCTTGAAATGTCAAGGTCACTTTTATAGAATAATATCAAACTCACCTCTAAGGACCATAGCATGATGCTTGAAATGTCAAGGTCACATCTATAGAATATTATTAAACTCACCTTTAAGGACCATAGCATGATG